CTGAAAAAAGGAAAGAAAAAAAGACTGCTGCCGCTCTCCATCTACTGACACTATTAACAATACAGAGGAAGAATTTGGAAAAGTCTAACCTGAAATAATATGGAAACATAAATAATTCCTGCCTCTCAGTTAATGAGTACTAAATGGCAAGAGAAAGGAAAAAAAGATCCTTATAGAGGCAAATGAAAGTTAACTGAGGGACCCAAGTCTCAAGTCTTTCATTTGATAGCAACATCGCATTTATATTTATTGGTATGATACCAAGCCTTTTGGATCAATGGTTTTTACAATGATGAGAATTCCCTTGTGGCCCAGTAGTCACACTTTCAAATTTAACCAAAAACATTTATCAAGACAATACCTCTCTGGGTGGGGGGGACATCTATAGACCAGGATATAGCAATGGCCTGTCCAATTTCTTATACCATGACTGTGCTTTTTACCAGCTCAGTCAGGCATTCCTTCTAGGGGTCTCAAAAAGTGCAAATTTCAAAGACCTAGCAACTCTCTCACAGCTTGAAAAAAAGAGAAAGAGTGAAAGAAGAAGGGAAAAATAGTCTAGGTGAAAAAAAAAAAAAGACTTAGGGAAATAAATTTATCTTTGCCATGAAAATAGACCCATAAGGAAGTTATGTGACAACAAGCACACATTGTGTGATCAGTTAAGACAGAACAGCCGGAAAAGTTGTTTTTCTGGTTACGACTTGAGTCAAAAGAGAATTAAGGAGGAATAAACATGCTCCAACTCCAATTTTCACCTTTTCTTGCCTGAAAGACGAGCACTTCATTGAAGTTCAGACCTTACTTTTGGGTGAAAGCACAAAAATGTTTTGCAATTAGACTGCCAATTTGGGCATGTACAAAAGTTGTTTTTAACTAGTTCTACTATAAGCTTAAAATGGAGCAAAGAAGGTGAACAGTCAAAAAAAACCACACCAGGAACCTGAAGAGATCTTCTAACAAGCTATGTATCCTGGCTAGAACCTGGAAGGGATCATTCAGTAATATCCAGTTTGACTACAATGAGCTCTGGATTCAGTGTATTCCCTGTATTTCTTGGGCACAGGAATTTGTGTGATGTCATTTTCCTAGTTGTGCTAGAGCATACAGATATAAGTGGCTAGATGTGTGTATTATATAGCCTACAGCACAAACAGAA